CAGCTGCGTCTTGATTTTGTGCGGGGAAGAAGGGTTTGTGTGTCGATTTGGGTGTCGGTCGGGCTTTCAGATCGCGTGGGAAGATTGAAAACACCAGTAGCAAAAAGAAAACAGCAAAGAAGAAACAAGGAATTCATTCATTGCGGCTCTGGGCACGGAGGCTTTTGATGGGCTTCGCTGGCAGATAGGGGCGAGGCAGTGAAACGAGGCTCTTTCCTCTCATGGCCCGCAGCTTCCCTCGAGTTTTAATTATTTTTTAAATATATTTCTAATTAAATAGCCGAAAAATAGCTCTCACGGTGAAAAAAATATCCCCTTGCCTTTCACACTTGCACCGCCGCCGGCACTTGACGTTGTCCGTTCTTTTCAAGCTGTGGGTGAGGGAAGAAAATGTGTTTTGAGGACTAGTCGGAGAAAAGAAAATGCCTTCGCTTAATCTGCCACCTAGTTCCTTCTTCTTGATCACGGATATGTTAGCTTAGCAGAAAATACATATATAAATAATTTTTAAAAAGTAATATCTAACCAATGAGTTTGGTCACGTATCCTCTTGCAAGATCATGGGTTTTACAACAGCACTAGCCTAGAGGAATGGAAGATATAATAAAATAAATAATATTAAAAAAAAAAAACTTTCCTGCGGACAGGAACAAATACGTGAAACCTCACAAACAGCGCATTTTTTTCCCCCTTAATGAACTTCTATGGGCCTTTCAGAGGTGCAAAGTCCAGGGCACGGATCACTTCCTTATGCTCCTTTCCTTTGCTCCCCTCGTGCTTCTTTCCTCCTCTAGGAAATAAACCCTTTTTTGCTCTCCTTTTTCTTCCTATTTTCGTTGCCTTCACGGCTCCTAGGTCAACGAGGCGTGACGTCACTCCTGCATATACCCTTGACCGTGACTAGGCGGGGGTTGACCTTGACATCATTGCTGCGGGCGCAACCAGCGCGGGGACCCTCACCCTTGATCTTCCCCTCACCAGGCACCGCCGAGCAGCTCCGGCTCCTGTTTACAGATAAACAAGGTGTTATTTGAAGTCTAGACAGCCGGCCTAATGGCCAACAATAAAGTCCTGAAAAGGAAGTTTCCCAAGTTTAAACCTTTTCTTCTCTTTGTATTCGGGGACTTTAAATAACCTCCCAACCGCAGACGCTATGGCTAAAAAAAAAAAAAAAAAAAAAAAAAAAAAGCGCCAAACGTAGGATAAGGGATTTCCCGCTCCCTTTTATTGATTTCCATTTATTTCGTATTTTTATTTATTTTAGTTTCCTGACATCTTCTTAATAATTTATTTATTTATTTATTTATTTATTTATTTATCGTCAATGCATTTTCCAAAGACCAATTTCCACATTTCCACTCTGGAAGGGGGAATTCTGGTTCCACTGGGCTCCAGGCTGAGGTGAGTGTGAGATAGCTGCTACTTTGCCTGTATATTGTTAGTAAAAGCCTCGACCTTAAAAATATATGAATATTTAAATAAATAAAAGGGTCCCTTTCAACAGCCAAGGGAAACACCCAAAGAGTTTGGAGAAATTATTTCTTGGGACACTGCTGACAGCCGTCAATATGGGCGTGTGGGTGTACGCATAGCCCACACACTTCTATAACACGGTGGTTTTCTTGCTTAGCAAACACCCTGCGCAATGCT